GCAGACAATGGTCCTATAAGTTTATGTGTATGATCTGAATTCCCAGGTGTATAATAGAGGTGACAAGGGGCAAGGATGTAGTCACTGCTTGGTCACAGCCACCTACCAAGAGTGACTGAGTAGTTGAACCTGTGGGCTTGGGACCATAGTCTCAGGGGACATCAAGTTCAATTGGCATAACATACTACACAAAACATTGCTCCACCTCCTACTTTGGTGAATAGTGATTGGGATCTTAAAAGCTTGCAAGCTGCCATCTAGATGCAACGATGGGTCTCTCCTCATCCAGAGCAAAGAAGAATGAGGAAAACCAAAAATTCATGGCAATTAGTCCTAGCGACTTGTATACCATCTGATCTGCAGCCTATATGACTATGAGACCAGAAGAAATAGATGGTGCCCGGCTACTACTGTCAACCACTTGGGAGGGGATCTATGTAGGAGATCCTTGATAGAGAGGGAGAACAATGTGGAACAAAACTCAAAATCATTTGGAGAAAAAAAAAAGGTAGGACCAGGTTTGCTGGTCCAGTAGAGCCTGGTGGAACCACTGAGACTATGGCCCTTAGCTGCCCTTCAGGTCTGGAAATGAACACATGCCTGTGGCTTCCAGCCAAACAATAGACAGGCACATGAATTGAACATTTACCTGAGGTAGATACATTCCTTGGAGAGAACAATCATGGGAGAAAGAAGGGCTGTGTATGCACAGGGAGAAGCTCAGGGGGCATCAGTGCATGGAGGGATGGACACAGGGAAGAGGTAACTATTGGGAAGAAGTATGAGGGGAGATGTTGCATTGTGGTAAATTTTGGTCAATGTCATGAGACAAAGTGTATGTGAACTGCTGTGAATTTGCTCTGTAAATTTTCACCCAGATCACAATAAAAAAAAAAAAGAAAATACCATGACTTGAGTCAGGTGTACCCTGGTCTTCAAAATGACATCTTTGGTCTTTGACCCTCTAAAGAGGTATTTTGAAAAAGATTTGCCCAATGTAATATGTCATTTGACTTCTTGAATGCTGCTTCCATGAGCATTAACTGTATATCCAGTAAAATAAAATCCTTAGCAACTGCAGTCTTTATTTCTGATTTCCAGTTGTAGGGATTTTTTTTTTTTTCTTTATAGTGAAGTGTAATCCATATTGAAGGCTGTAATGTTTGATTTTCATCACTAAATGCCTCAAGTCTTTTTCACTTTTAGCAAGCAAGGTCGTGTCATCTGCATATTGCAGGTTGTTAATGAGTCTTCCTCCAATCCTGATGCTGCGTTGTTGTTTGTATAGTCCAGCTTCTTGGAATATTTGCTCAGCATACAGATTGAATAAGAACAATAAAAGGATATCACCCTGACACACATTTCCTGATTCAAAATCATTCAGTATCTCCTTGTTCTGTTTGAATGACTGTCTCTTGAACTATGTACAAGTTCCACATCAGCACAATGAAGTCTTCTGGAATTCCAATTCTTCACTATGTTATCTATAATTTGTTATGATTCACGTACATGAATGGCTTTGCATAGTCAATAAAACACAGGTAACAATTCTCCTAAATTCTTTGCTTTCAGCCAAGATCCTTCTGACATCAGCAATAATATCCTTCTTTGCAAGTTCACATTCTCTTCTGAATACAGCCTGAATTTCTGGCAGTTCCCTTTCAATATACTGTTGTAACTGCTTTTGAATTATCATCTTCAGCAAAATTTTATTTTTATGTGATATTAATGATATTGTTTAATTTTTTATACATTCTGCTGGATAATTTTTCTTTGGAATGGGAACAAATATGCATATCTTCCAATGGGTTGGTCAGACAGCTGTCTTCCAAATTTCTTGCACTGCATTTGTTTGTTGAAACATCTATATAAGTATCCCATCAATTCCCAGAGCCTTGTTTTTCATAGTTCCTTCAGCGTAGCTGAACACCATCATGCCTTCATCATGTGCTATGTCCTGAAATGGTTGAATCAATTAATTCTTGGGACTAGGGCAGACCTGCCTCCTTGTAGCACAGTCAACCTTAATCATGTGGATGGAGTAAAGCTTTCAGGACCTTTATTTGCTGATGTGGCACAACTCAAAATGGGAAGAAACAGCTGCAAACATCCATTAATGATTGGAACATCAAATCAAATCAAACCAAACTCACTGCCTTCAAATCGGATCCAACTCATAGCGACCCCTCCTTGGGTTTCCAAGGTCATATCTCTACAGAAGTAGATTACCCATCTTTCCTTACAAGGATTGGCTGGTGGGTTTGAACCATCAGACTTCTGGTTAATAGTCAAATGCCTTAGGCACTATGCCACCAGAGCTCCTAATTGGAACACAGAATGAAAAAATACAAATCCAAGAAAATTTGGAGTTGTAAAATATGAAATGAAATGTATAAAGATCAATATCCTAGGCATTAGTAAGCTGAAATGGAGTGGCATTTAGGAATTTTTAATTAATCAAACACCTCTTAATGGAAAAAAAAATAAGAGTTTGTCAGATCCAAGCTGTTGTTCCTTACACTGGACAACCAAAAGGACTCATCTTTCTCCTTTCAACAGTTGCCTCAGTTTTGAATATTCCCTCTTCTAGAATTGTGTTCTTATTATCTTTCTCTCCTTCTCCCTCTGTACCTACCCACCCCCTTCCACTACTTGGTAAACAATTTCTGTTGATTTAACTTCTAAATACCTTTCATATCCACCCTCTCTTCACCCTGACCATCACTTTCATAGACCATGCCAACATCATGTCTCATCTGGTTTATTGTAACAGTTATTAAAACTGCTCTAGTTAAATCTACTTTAATTATAGGTAATATAATCTTTGCAAAATAAATATGTGATTCACTGGGTTAGTATTTATTAAGAACCTACTAGATGCGAATATTTGCCTTAAAAATTCAATCCAAACTCCAACAAGGCATACAAGGCTTCTCGTGATCTAGCCCTGCTTCCCAGCTCAATATAATTCTTGCCTACCTATAAACTCACCCACTTGCCATGTTAATATTTTTGTTTTTGGTGGTGGTTGCTGTTGATTGGGTTTTGACTCATGGCAACCTCATGTGTGCATTGTAAAACAGCTCCACAGAGTTTTCAAGGCTGTGATTTTTTGGAAGTAGATCACCAAGCCTGTTTTTTGAGGTGTCTCTTGGTGGTTTGAACTGCTAACTGCTAACTTTTCAGTAATAGTCCAGCACTTAACCATTTGCACCTCTGAGGAACTATACACAGTCATATTTTTTCTGAGATCTGATCCAGGCTGTCTAATCCCCCTTCTGTACATGCTAGCATCTTTTTCTTTAATATGACACATCTTTTCTTGTGGGAGGGCTAATTTATGTACAAATTAGTATAAAATATTTTTTTAAAGTATAAAATATTTGCATTCTGAACTTTTTAAAGAAATGTCTATAATTATAGTTAAAACTGGTGTTTGACAAAAGAGTTACATTTTCTGGACATTTCAAATGCTAACTAGCACATACTACAATATCCAAAAATAACACTCAACTGTTGACTGTATTTTGCTATTGAGAGAGACTCCTTTGAAGCTGGATTATTTTGTCCCTCCTTGACTAATTATGTAAGTTACTTAATTGTAACATGTGATATGGTTTGTCTCATTTATCCATTATTATTTATTCATTGCCAGTTAGTCAATTCCCACATGTAGTAACCCTATAGCATAGAGTAGAAGTGCCATATAGTGTTTCCAAGGCTGTAATAGTGCCTAAAGCATTTGACTGCTAACCAGAAGCCTGGAGGTTCAAACTTACCAGCCACCCCTCAGAAGGAAGATTGGGCAATCTACTCCATAGAGATAATGTCTTGGAAACCCAAGGAGGAGTCACTATGATTCGAATCAACGTGACAGCAATGAGTTGAATCTTTATGGAAGCAGATTGCCACATCTTTCTTTTGTGGAGGAGCTTATGACTTCGAACCACTGATCTTTTCACTAGCAGCCAAGCACTTAACCACTGCACCACCAGAGCCCCTTGTCTCATAGTGCACTTTAATATGAAATACTTTAAACAAGATTTCTTTTTCCATTGAAAACTGGACAAGCATCTTTAACATAAGAACATGCTCTTCAATCAACTTACTTGAGATGTTTTTTCTAATTCATCCACCCTTATTTCTCACTAACATAACTCTAACAAGAGTTTCATTTGTACTTGGAAAATACTTTGCTTAACTCATAACACCAATCAAGTTCCACTGGCTATGTATTTCTCTTCTTCCCAGACCCAATCAATGAAGAGTTAAAAGCACTCATCAAGAAGACCCAAGTGATTGTCCTTTGTCTTCAGGGGGCAGACAGACATGAGCTGAAACCCAAGATCTGAAGCCAAGGCTATGAGGAGGGAACCAGAGCAGGGTTCCCTCTTGTTGGGTCTTAGTTTTCTGAAAACATAAACAAAGAAAAAAATAATCGCTATCAAATTGACTATGACCCATGGGGACCTCATGTGTGTCAGAGCAAAAACTGTGTTCCGTAGGGTTTTCAATGGCTATGACCTTTCAGAAGTAAATTATTAGGACCTGTAGATTTCTAGCCACTCCTGGGTAGATTTTAACAACCCATGTTTTGGTTAGTAGTCAAGTACTTAACAGTTTTTGCTACCAATTACATTGAGAACTGCTCAAAAATAAGGACAGACTAAAAATAGTTTATCATTCCTCAGTTAAGGCATTATTTCCTTGAAGGAAACTTCATGGACACTATCTCTCTGGATTTTATGTTTATGCATGATATCCCATTGGCAAAACAATGCTTACCATATTGAATTGCATGTCTGTTGTCTCTCCTTAAATAAGCTATTAATTCCTTGAGGGCAGGGTCAACTATTTATTACTCCTCATTTTCTACCAAAATGGGTCCTTAAAAAATATTTGTTGAATACAGAAATGAATGAATGGTTGGTATGTTAGATATGCACAAATAGCTTCAGTATTTTCTAAGCTATGCTTTATATCTTATGTACTTTGTCCAGGTAACTACTGAAGAGGATGATTTGAAAACAGATTTCTACAATGATTTAAGTTCTCTTACAAATGATGAAAGTGGAGGTACTGCACATTCAAGTCAACAGAAGAACTCTTTTTCTGTACCAATTTTCTATTCTTCGAAGAAAAGTCAAAATGTCAACCACAGGTCTGCCTTCCAAAAAGCTGTTCAAGCTTCCCACAAAAAGGTAATAAAAATGATTCCTGATATTTCTATTCTGCCTTGAAAATTAACACCAATCCCAGACATGATGCAATTATACTAATGCAATATATTAAATCAGAGGATTTCTAACACACACAAATAATCTAAATAGTTTTATATTATTTGTTATAATCCACTTCAAAAGGTATAGAGTAATATGTATAACACTAGTTTCTTTTCTTGTATGTTTGGCTGTGTTTATATTTGTATTCTCTTTATATTCACTTTCTTTGTCACATCTATTAGGTATGTTTTTTTATTAACTGTATATAACAAGGCACTGTTTTTTTTTTTTTTTTTAATATATTCTGACAGTTTTAGGCTTTTGCTAGGGATATTCAGCCAATTTACATTTACTGTATTCACTGAAATAGATTTATTCTTTCCATACTATTTTATTTTTCTTACTCATTTCACTTTGTTGCCATTTTCTTATTTCTCTATTTTTCTGTCTTTCTCACTTTTCTATTTACTCCATTTTTTCCTTTTAGTCATTTTGGGAGTTCTATTATACTTTCAGGTAGCTCTGATGGCATAGTGCCTAAGGTATTTGACTGCTAACCAGAAGGCTGGCAGTTCAAACCTACCAACCACTCCTTGGAAGGAAGACCGGGCAATCTACTTTCATAGTGATACCACCTTGGAAACCCAAGGAGGGGTCACTATGAGTCATATCTGACTCAATGGCAGTGAGTTTGGGTTCTTTATGGTATTATATTTTGCAATTATGTTTGTGGTTCCCATTCTCTAAGATCTCTGGGTGGTGAAAACACTCTACTAATCTAGAGGTTGGTGGTTTGAACCTACCTAGGTATGTCATGGAAAAATACCTGAAAATCTGCTTCTGTAAGATTACAGCCAAGAAAACCCTATGGAACAGTTAGAAGCCCTATATTTGTCTCTTATTTTATTACATGAAATAATATCTGTAGCCCCCCCCCAAAAAAAAAGAGATGTTTTGTTTACCTCTTCCCCACATTTAAAACCCCTTGCTGTTGTTGTTGGTAGGTACTGTTGAACTGACTCTGACTCACAGTGACCCTTTGCACAACAGAAGGAAATACTGCCCAGTGCTTTGCCATCCTCACAATCCTTACTATACTTGAGCCCTTTGTTGCAGTCACTGTGTTAATCCATCTCATTGAGGGTCTCCCCCTTTTTCACTGACCCTCACTTTACCAAGCATGATATTCTTCTCCAGAAAATGATCCCTTCTGACAATATGACCAAAGTAGGTGAGACAAAGTCTGGACATTCTTGCTTCTAAGGAGAATTCCAGCTGCACTTTTCCAGAACAGATTTGTTTGTTCTTCTGGCAGTCCATGGCACTTTCAGTCTTCTTTGCCAACACCACAACTCAAAAACATTAACTCTTCTGTGGTCTTACTTATTCATTGTCCAGCTTTCACATGTAGATGAGGCAGTTGAAAACACTATGGCTTGGGTTAGGTGCACCTTAGCCTTCAAAGTGATATCTTTGCTCTTCAATACTTTAAAGAGGTCTTTTGTGGCATATTTGGTTAGTGCAATATTGCTTCTGATTTCTTAACTTCTGCTTCCATAGGTGTTGACTGTGGAACCAAGTAATGTGAAATCTTTGATGACTTTAATCTTTTCTTCATTTGTCATGACACTGCTTATTGATACAGTTGTGAGCATTTTTGTTTTCTTTCTGTTGAGGTGTAATCTGTACTGCAGACAGTAATATTTAATCATCATCAATAAGTGCTTCAAGTCACCTTCACTTTCAGCAAGCAACGTTGTATCATCTGCATATCACAGGTTGTTAATGAGTCTTCCTCCTATCTTGATATCATATTCTTCTTCATATAGAGCTGCTTCTTGGATTATTTGCCCAGCATACAGATTGAATCAGTATGGTGAAAGGATACAACTCTGATACACACCTTTCCTGATTTTAAACCATGTATTATCTCCTTGTTGTAGTCAAATGGCAGCCTCCTGGTCTATATACAGGTTCCTCATGAGTACAATTAAATATTCTGAAATTCCCATTCTTCTCAATGTTATCCATAATATGTTATGATTCACACAGTCAAATGCTTTTGCATGTCGATAAAACACAAGTAAATATCTTTCTGGTAATCTCTACTTTCAGCCAAGATTCATCTGACATCAACAATGATATCCCTCATTCCATATCCTCTTCTGAATCCAGCTTTCATTTCTGGGAGTTCCCTGTCAATATAGTGCTGCAACAGCCTTTTAATTATCTTCAGCAAAATTTTACTTGCATGTGATATTAATGATATTATTCAATAATTTCCACATTCTGTTAGATCACCCTTCTTTGGAATGGATACAAACGTAGATCTCTTCTACTCAGTTGGCCAGGCAGCTGTCTTCCAAATTACTTGACATGGGCGAATAAGTGCCTCCACTGTGGCATTCGTTTGTTGAAACATCTCAAAATGTATTTCATCAATTCTTGGAGCCTTTTTTTTTTTTTTTTTTGCCTTCAGTTCAACTTGGACTTCTTCCTTCAATGCCATTTGTTCTGATCATATGCTACTTCCTGAAATATGTGAACATCAACCAATTCTTTTTGGTACACTGACTGTGTATTCCTTCTATCTTCTTTTGATGCATCATTCAATATTTTTCCCATAGAAACTTTCAATAATTCAACTTGTGGTTTGAATTTTTTCTTCAGTTCTTTCAGCTTGAGAAATGCCAAGAGTGTTCTTCCCTTTTGGTATTCTAACTTCAGGTCTTTGCACATTTCACTATAATAATTGGCTTTTTGTCTTCTCCAGCTGTTCTTTGAAATCTTTTGTTTAGCTCATTTATCTTGTCACTTCTTCCATTTGCTTTAGCTACTCTCCATTCAAGAGCAAGTTCCAGAGTCTCTTCTGACATCCATTTTGGTCTTTTCTTCCTTTCCTGTCTTTTTAAATGATCTTTTGTTTTCTTCATGTATCATGTTCTTGACATCAAGTCACACACAACTGCCTTTTCAAACCTTCTCCTGCCTTTCCCAGAGTCCATTTCATATAATTACTTATTTACCTATTCATATTTTTACATAAATATGAGTCCTTCTGCACTCCATAGATAACTTTTCTAAACATCTCATTTACCTTCAAAAGAACTCTAAGAGATAATCAGGGTAGATATTTTTAACATCATCATTTTGTAGATGAGGAAACTGAAGTCCAAACATTTTTTTAAGTCAAAAAATATTTATCAAATTTATACTATGTGGCAGGTACTACACTAAAATCCAAGAGGCTACATGACTTTCCTATGATCTTATAGTGAGTAAATGCTAGAGTTGAAAATTGAAATCAGTTTTTCTGATTTTTATCTTCTATTCTTACCCACCACATTACACTTCAAGCCATGTACTTATTCATTTATTCAAAATTACAACAAACTGTGGAAAAAGCCCAGCTATGGTGATATGGGCATATAAAAGTAAGCAAATAAATAAGAATAAAATAGATTTCTTTTATAACATATCTTATTACTTCAGTTTTGAATGGGCTGTGTGTTAACATTGTCCTCCAAATTTACTAAATTATATTCTTAATGCATGTTATTAGCAGAATTACCAGGAAGTCAAAATGCACATCTTCAAGTGTTTAATCTATTGATTCAGAATATCTAGAAGTTGAACATATGAATCTGCTTTTGCTCAACTGTTCCCAGCTTTACCCTGATGCAACATCTGTGATTGGGAATAACTGCTTAAAAATATCGTCAAAGGTGTTGATGGAGATGACGCTGAAAGAGATGTGGATAGACTTGCTTCACAAAGGGTTTATAAAGGTTTCAGACACACAAGAGAACATTTGTGAAACCCTTATCTGTAGATAAATAGTATCATTTAATCTTTTAATACTTAGTTTGCTCCAAAGTGGAAACATTTACAGTATTAGGTTCACAGTATTAGGTTGGACCACTTGAAACTGCTAATCTTCAACAATTTTTGACACAAATGGTCAACTGAATGGTTTAGTTGAGTATTACAACTGTTCTGTTTGATTATATCTGAACAGAATAAGGAAATCTCAGTGAACATAGAAAATGATACTCAACGTTCCTTATTTCTCCAGTAGTGAGAAAAGGCATTCCAAACTTGAAAATCAGTCTAAACCCTTAAGTAAAGCTTAATGTTTTATTTGTTTATTTATTTATTTTGTTTATTACATTTTTTAATCTTTATTTTTATTTTATTTTATTTATTTATTTATTTATTTTGGTCAATCACACATCTGACAAAACATTTATTGGGAAGACAATCTGTTTCAAAGTCAAAATACCAGTTAGCTCTCACTAAGCATCTGTGATTTACTTTACAATATCAAAACACAAACAGAAAATAAAAATTAGGCAAGAACTCATAAATTGTTTAAATAGATTATATGGGGTTTAATAATCTACAGTAACAAAAATTTTTAGTCCAAAATCACCATCCCCAGCCATCAAACAATTACAAGTTGAGCTCTGTGGAGGTGCTTGTGCTAAATTGATTTGCTGTTGTTAGAAGCTGTCTAGTCCATTCTAACTGACAGCAACCCTTGTACAACAGAATGAACCACTCCCCTGTCCTGTGTCATCCTTAAAAGCCTTGCAATGTTTAAGCCCATTGTTGCAGCCACTGTAGCAATCTATCTCCTTGAGGGTCTTCCTCTTTTTCCCTGACCCTGTACTTTATCAAGCATGATGTCCTCCTCCAGGAAAAGCATCAAATGTAGTTGTTTTGTAATGAAATGTCAAAAGCTATTTAGTGTCCATTGAGAAAAATTACATTTGTTTACTGAGTGTGGCTAGAAGCTAAGCTGAAGTTTATAAATATATTTTGTAAAAAAAATAACTTATTTTATGTTGTGTAGTCAAATATTACAACTAAAAGGAAGTCATTTAAACATACAAAGTGACATAACATTGTCCTTTTCCACCTGGAGTTCAGCTCAATACAGTTTCTCAGGATTCTTCTAGCATTGGCATTCAGAAGCTCACTTTCATTCTAAACATAGCATAACAATAAGTGTATTGTCTAGCAAAGTGAGAGATATATTTCTTTCTTATTAAGGTATTATCTTTCCACACCCATATGATACTCCAAAACCATCAGCAGTATCAAGATAGCATAGGAAAAGCTCTAACTGAGATCTTAGCAGGCTAAATTCTAGTCTTGACTGCTAGTAAGAAGTTCTAAAAAACTTGGCAAGTTAATTAATGCCTTTCTGTCTCAGATTCCTCCTCTGAAATGGTAATGTGTCTGCGTGCATGTGTGCTTAATCCTTGAACATACATGATGTACGCATGTGTGTGTTTATGTAGAAAATGCTGGTTTCATGATAAACACAGTCAACAAAGATACAATTTACAATTATAAGGTATTATACTTGGAATGGCAATGGATAGGACAAAATATTATTGGGATATTTTTCCTGTAACAAATCATAGATTTTTGTTCACATTCAGTTGCTTGAGTATGTCAATAAACAGGAGCAAAACTTCAAAGATGACAGCAGGCAAACAAAGGGCAAAAAGAACTAGAAACTTTGGCAACATGAAAATGTGTGATGAAAAAGTTACCAAGAATCATTTGATTTAATCTACATCTTTTCAGTCATAGATAGAAGAGTGCCTGTAGCACAAACATGAATTGTTTATTTTTAATCCACAGTAGAATTGTGAAAAAACAAGTGAAAAAATGACATTTTGTTGTTTTACATTTTTCATAGACTCATTAAAACTTCCAAGCAAGTGGTGCCTTTCAGTTCGTTATGGTAATAACAGACCACATAATATCCTGAAGTAATAAGAATCAACTTATTTTTTTCTTTAACAATAAATTTTTCAATAGTAATATGAGTTTTTCATAATATTTTATTGAACAGTCAGCTACCTTACTCATGACTAGTTGAGTCAAAGATTCTTGAAATAAAAACATAGCTTTTAAAACTATGATTTTAAAAAGCTATATATATTTAAGAATTTTTTATAACATTTTTTCACAATTAAAAAACTATGGACTGAACACTGAATCAGTTGTGTACTAGACTTAATAAAATGATATAAGAAATATGATAGTGAAATTAATGGCACAATGAAGTTAAACTGAGAGAGATGAAGCCTTTCAATATGTGCTTGCCTATAGATTACTAAATTATACAATATACATCTTGCCACTCTTCAATAAATGCAAGATATGAGAAAATGATTATTGTAACTGATTTTTGTTGTCATTATGTGCCATTGAGTTGGTTCTGACTCATAGCAACCCTACATACAACAGAACAAAACACTGCCTGGATCCGTGCCATCCTTACAATATTTGCTATGTTTGAACCCACTGTTGCAGCCATTGTGTCAACCCATGTCTTTGAGGGTCTTCCTCTTCTTCCCCAACCCTCTACTTTACCAAGTATGATGTCCTTCTCCAGGGACTTGTTTAATCTCCATCTTTTCAATCTGGAGAGAAGAGTGCCTGTAGCACAAACATGAATTGATAACCTGAGATCCTGATAACCAGTCCAAAGTCTTGTCATTCTCACTACCAAGGAGCATTTTAGCTGTACTTCAAATAAGACAAATGTCATTCTTCTGGCAGTCTATGGTATATTCGATATTCTTCATCAACACCATAATTCAAATACATCAATTCTTCCTAGGTCTTCCTTATTCATTGCCAAACTGTCATGAGCACATGAAGTCATTGATAATACCATGTCTGCTTGGGTCAGATGCTCTTTAGTCTTCAGAGTGACATCTTTGCTTTTGAACATGTTAAAGAGTTCTTCTGCAGCAGATTTAACCAATGCCATATGTTGCTAACATAAAGAAAAAGAAAATCCTCATAACTGGACCAAAAACATGATAAATGAAGAGAAGATTGAAGTTGACAAAAATTTCATATTACTTGGTTCCACAATCAACACCAATGGAAGTGGCAGTCAAGAAATCAGGTGATGTATTACTCTGGGCAAATCTGCTACAAAAGACCTCTTTAAAGTGATGAAGAGCAAAAATGTCTCTTTGAAGAGCAAGGTAAGCCTAACCAAAGCCATGGTGTTTTCAATCTCCTCATAAGCATGTGAAAGCTGGACAATGAATACGGAAGACTGAAGAAGAGTTGATGCTTTTGAGTTGTGTTGGCAAAGAATATTGAAAGTACCATGGACTGTCAGAAGAACTAACAAATCTGTCCTGGAAGAAGTGCAGCCAGAATGCTCCTTGGAAGCAAGAATGGCCAGATTTCATTTCAACTACTTGTCAGAAGAGACCATCCCTGGAGAAGGATATCATTTTTTGGTAAAGTGGAGGATCAGCAAGAAAGGGGAATGCCCTCAATGAGATGGATTAACATAGTGGATGCCATGATGAGTTCAAGTATAGCAAGGATTGTGAGGCTGGCACAGGACCAGGCAGTGTTTCGTTCTGTTGTACATAGGGTCACTATGAGTCGGAGCCAACTTTACAGCACCTAACGACAACAACATATGTCATTTGATTTCTCGACTGCTGCTTTCTTAGGCATTGATTATGGATCCTAGTGAAATGAGATCCTTGACAACATCCATCTTTTCTCCATTTATCATGATGTTGCTTATTGGCCCAGTTGTGAGGATTTTTGTTTTCTTTATGTTGAAAAGTAATCCATATTGAAGGCTATAGTCTTTGATCTTATCATTAAGTGTTTCAAGTCTCATTCCCTTCCAGCAAGCAAAGTTGCATCACCAGCATATCACAGGTTGTTAATCACTTTTCCTTTGAAACTGATGTCACGTTGTTCTCCGTATAGTCCAGCTTCCTGGACTATTTGTTCAACTGTGATGAAAGGATACAGCCTTGATGTGCACTTTTTCTGACTTTAAACCATGCAGTATCCTCTTGTTCTGTTGGCATATTTGTCAATTAGTTTATATGCAGTTCTGCAAGAGCACATTAAGTGTTTTGGAGCTCCCAATCTCTGCAATGTTATCCATAATTTCTTATGATCCACACAGTCGGATGCTTTTGCATAATCAATAAAACACAGATAAATTTTGTTCTGGTGGTCTCTACTCTCAGCCAAGATCCATATGACATCAGCAATGATATCCCTTGCCCCATGTCCTCTTCCCAATCTGGCTTGAATTTCTGGCAGTTTCCTGTCCATATACTTCTGCAACCATTTTTGAATTATCTTCAACAAGATTTTATTTGCATATAATATTAATGATAGTGTTCAACTATTTCTGCATTATGTTGGATTACCTTTACTTGGAATGAGCACAAATATGTATCTTTTCCAGTCAATTAACCAGGTAGCTTCCTTCCAAATTTCTTGTCATAGATGAGTGAATACCTTCAGCATTGCATCCATGTGTGTGAACATCTTAATTAGTATTCCATCAATTCCTGGAGCCTTATTTTTCACCAATTCCTTCAGTGCACCTTGAACATCTTCCATCAATACTATCAGTCCTTGATCATATGCTACCTCCTGAAATTTTGTAACTAAAATTTAATTTGTGATTTTCCATGACTTCATTTTTAGAGCATGTTGTAAGTTTTGAATCTCCCGTAATGGGTATTTCACACAGTAAGTACACTTTTTACTAAAAACATAAGGTCTCACAGCTTCTAAAACCCATGGTTCTATGGAAAAAAATCAAGTATTAAACTTAAAAATAATGAGCACAGCTCAAATGTAAGCTCCCCAAAGACACAAATTTTCTCTTGAGCATTAAATGTGTTGAAGGCAAGGAAAAAAAAAAGAAGGAGGAGGAAGAAAAGGACAGAAGGGGATGGATGAGGATTCTTTCAATCCTTATGATTATTTTTTTCTTCCTTTTGTGTTAGCAATTATTTTGTTCCATAATTATAACGTACAGGAAGATGGCTGTTCAATAATTTCTAGCTACATTAAAGCTCTTTTTCTAAAATACTTTCCTTGTTTCATTAAGGAAATTTCATTTGCTGAAATGGAATGATCAAATAAAGCATATAAAAATTTTTCTTAAAGTTAGTGAAGATGGATGCACTCAAAAAACTCAATGGTTATGGAACAGTATAATCAAATTGGATGAGATTTTGAACATAATACAGACCACATAAAACCCTGTGGAGCAGTTCTATACTGCACACATGGGGTTGCCATGAGTCAGAATCAACTCAATGGCCGAAACAACAACAACAATCTTAAATTAACCCGACACAACTATAAATTACAAAAAAAAAAAAAAAAACTGTTTAATTATTTCTCCATAAAGGTGGAAAAGAAACAATAAGTTGACTTAATTTTATTGCTAAGAAATTTAGAATCATACAATTTTGTCATTTTGAAAGTGTTATGAAATATTACCCAGTGTGCAGCCTTCATCTTATCATGTGAAAACTGATATTCAAAAAATTAAATGCCTTTTCCCCATTAGAGACAAAGCTGCAACATCAACCTCAGTTGTATAACTGCCACCCAAAAATTTCCAGAATCTCTACTCAATTATCTGTATTAGCAATGTCTTCTAAATAAAAACTCAGCAGGGACACAGTCATGATCTGCAATCAAGAGAGAAAGATTTATTTTTCTGATAATTGCTCTCTTCTTTGGTAGAAAATGTTTGTTTTTCTCAGTCTCACAGTCTAGATTATTGAGCTAATTTTATCTGATGAACACTTTGAACATCTCAGGGAAAGATAGTGGAAAGTAAAGCAGAATTCTAATGTTATATATGAGAACATGCCATGGAGAGTTAATATTGTTGTAACACTGTGGTAGAAATGAAGCTAACAATCAATCAATGACATTTAAATGGTTGATTCCTCAAGCATTTATTACATTCTCTCTTTTTTTTTTTTTTTTATTCTTTTCTTCCATTTAGGATTCTAGTTTTATTAGAATCCATAAAGCAATAAAAGTCTTAAACTTTACAATGAAGAGTAAAGATCTGCTGCTTTCTGATGTCTTTTTGAAAGCACTTAACCATCTACCACTGGAATATAATTTTGCTCTGTATAGCCGGATATTTGATGACTTCGGGACTCACTATTTCACCTCTGGCTCCCTGGGTGGTGTGTATGACCTCCTCTATCAGTTTAGCAGAGAAGAATTAAAGAACTCAGGTATAGTTTCTGTATAGTTTTCTGTAGCCTCAATTTTATAACCAATATGACAACATACGATACATTTTTCTGATTGTCTAATGCTATCACTTCAATTATTTTTATTTACTGACTTTATTTTTAACAGCCTAGTTGCTATTGAGGGAGCTCTGGTAGCGTAGTGCGTAAGACACTTGGCTGCTAACCAGAATGCTAGCTGTTCAAACCCACCAGCCACTCCTCAGAAGGAAGGTTGGGCAATCTATTTCCATAGTGATACTGCCTTGGAAACTCAAGGAGGGGTCACTATGAGTTGGGTCCAACTCAACAGCACATAACAACAGCAACAGTTGCTATTAAGTCAACTCTAGCTGATGGTGACTTCACGTGTCAGAGTAGAACTGGGCTCCACAGGATTTTCAATGGCTGGCTTTTCAGAAGTAGATCACCAGGCCTTTCTTCCCAGGTACCGCTGAGTGGGCTTGAGCCTCCGATATTCAGTGAGCAGCAAAGTGAATTAACTCTGTGCACCCTGCAGGGACTCCCTTGACTTTGTTTAGACCATGCTTTAATTCCAAAAAGGAGCTCTAGTGGCACTGTGGTTAAGGCATTGGGCTGTTAACCTAAAGATCAGTGGTTTGAACCTACCAGGTGCTCCACTACAAAAAGATGAGGCAGCCTGCTTCCATAACTATGTACAGCCTTGGAAACCCTTGTTGTTATGTTGTTATGTGCCGTCGAGTCAGCCCTGACTCATAGCGACCCCTACTTGGGTTTCCGAGGCAGTATCACTACGGAAGTAGGATTGCCCAACCTTCCTTCCGAGGAGTGGCTGGTGGGTTTGAACCGCCAGCCTTCTGGTTAGCAGTCAAGTGCTTTAGCCACTATGCTACCAGAGCTCCCTTGGAAACCCTATGGGGGTCATTATGAGTCAGAATTGACTTGATGGCAATAGATTTGGTTTGGGTTATTTCCAAAATAGTGTGATGAACAAGCAACCATATACACACTCAAGTAAATGGAATAAAAAGAGAAAATTAGGACCAAAATAAAAGGAAAGATAAATATGCTTCACCTCTGTGATTTGTTTTTGATTTGCATGGCATCTGGGAACATCATAAGTTACAAATCATTAGTAACCTAAAATGGGAGAAGCATGTCAGTACCTGAGGGGGTATAAGTTTGTCCTGGAACTAAATTCTAAAAGATAATCTTCTTATAACACTTTTGTAGGAGGTAACACTCATATTAAACAATAATTTTATAGCAAATGCAATAGAAATTTTTTTTTTTTTTTGGCTAACTAAAAGTTGAGGGCATAAGATGAAAGAACAAACAATGACTTGACAAGAAACTAAGTTATTATGAGCCAGATAAGCACCTAGCCAAAAAAACAGTTGCTACCTAATCAGTTCTAACTTATGGCAGCCCCAAGTGTGTCAGAGTGGAATTGTGATCTATAGGGTTTTCAATGGCTGATCTTAGGAAGTAGATCACCATGTCTTTCTAAAGTGACAAAACTTAAACCACACAGGAAGCACTTTCGTTTGAGGAAAAGTTACAGTCTGAAAACTTGAGACAAAATAAATGATATTTTCTGCTTACATGTAAAATAACAATATGAACCAAATATCTTGGGTTTTATAATATTATCTAAAATCATCAATATCAATTATTATTATAACTTAAGCATCTGTGGATAAATTTGCTTTCAGGTTTCTGTCTCAAAGGACTCAGGGTCTTTGTGATGATTTTATCATGTGTCTCTTGAGAATAAGGGTAGGAAATTGTACAGGCACCAGAACATAACTCACTAATACCCCCAGTAAACCAGAATTCTTATCCATTAAAATTTTATGAAAAGAAATCACAAATTTGTTTAAAAAGACAACATCAGGTCAGCCCTATGATCAATAGGCTTTCAATTCCTCTTTTTATACATCTCAATATGGCAAATCCTAATGTCTGTTTTGGTCAATTGAGTTCATAAGTCCCCAGATGTTCCCCATGATCTGCTTGCTATCAGAAAAGATGGGACAAATACCTTTGAGGAGAATTTTCAGTAAGAAGGTTTTAAATTTTGTTTGTACTTGATATGCTTACTAAAATCCAAAAGGTTTGTCCTGGGAAGGGCTGTCCACATGGCCTGCCTCTTGTATTTCATTTCAGTTGTTGTCTTTTCCACTAGAGCAACAGTTGCATGATGGAACTGATGTCTTCTGCCACAGAGAATAGCATTAACATTAATGCAGAGCAAAAATGGTTAGGGGAAACTTATGGCCCTTGGATTTATTTCATCTGACCCTCAGGATGAAATTATTCTGGTTACTGCAGCTATAATCCAGAGAATAATTTCCCACTTGATAAGCTATACTTATGATGCATTCAGAGTAAAGACTCAAAGCCTTAAAGATCAGGTTATTTAAAGAAGTGTGTGAATATATAAGCAAACATTCAGCCATTCAGTAGTTAAAATCTCCCATCCAAACAAAAAGTGATGAGCTACACTCTTACTGAAATTTCTCACTCTCCATGTCCTCTATAAATAGAAGTAGAGACTGACTGGCCAATAAACAGAAATGCATCAAGAGGGAAAGAAAGGGCATTTGAGAAGTGATTGAAAACTGGAAATATATAACAATACATACACAAATACACATGTTATATATACATACTATATTATACATGCATGCACTACATATATGTATATTGTTGTTGTTGTTGTTGTTTGCCGTCAAGTTGGCCCCGACTCATAGCGACCCCTCCTTGGGTTTCCGAGGCACTATCACTACGGAAATAGGATTGCCCAACCTTCCTTCTGAGGAGTGGCTGGTGGATTTGAACCACCAGCCTTCTGGTGAGCAGTCAAGTGCCTTAGGCACTATGCTACCAGAGCTCCAGTATATACACATATATATACACACACACACACACACACACACATATTCAGGAACTGTAGTGCCATAGTGGTTAAAGCATTCGGCTACTAACCAAAAGTTTGGCAGTTTGAACCCACCAGCCACTCCATGGGAGAAAGATGAGGCAGTCTGCTTCCATAGATATTTACAGCCTTGGAAACCCTATGGAGTTGTTCTGCTCTGTCCTATAGGGTCACTATAAGTCAGAAATTGACTCAACGGCAGTGGGTTTTTTTATTTTGTTTTGTTTTATATGTAGATAGATAGATAAATAAAATGTACATATGTATTTGTATGTTTATATATATGTAAATATGCATAAGTGTGTAGATATATATATTAGATGTGTGTGTGTGTGTGGTTGTGTGTATAATCAGGAGCTCTGGTGGCATAGTACCTAAGGCATTTTGACTGCTAACCAGAAGGCTGGAGGTTCAAACCCACCAGCCACTCCTTGGAAGAAAGACTAGGTGTCTACTTCTGTAGAGATGCCGCCTAAGAAAATCAAGGAGGGGTAGCTATGAGTTGGAACTGACTCAACAGCAGTGAGTTTTATTATTTTTTTGTATGTTTAATCACAATAATAATATTGGTGCAAAATTTTTATTATTAAGATGAAGCATACCCAAAGAGTAACAAATCTCAATAAAACGGATTCTCAAAGGGGTGTGTTTACCTGTTTTTGCCTGCTCTCTAGATGAATATGTACTCCATCCTTCTCCTTTCACCCCATTTATCTTTTCTCCACTTACCTGGTCACAACCTGGAGCCAGAGTATCATTTTTGTTTTTGTTCCTCTTTATTCAATAAGAATTATATCCCTTGTCATTAATTTTCAAATAATGCCTTGACTATTTCATATTACTTTTTCTCTCTCAAGAAAAATAAAACAAAACTAAATTGTTTTTTATTTGCATCCCTTGATTCATTCCTCTATTTTTCAGTGTCCCATAGTCAGTTTAAAACCTTGAACAACAGTTGACATTGTTTCACTCTGCAAGGTGACAAGAATTTCAGGAATACGATGAAAACATTAAACAATTAAAGTATCACAATATGCAAAATGGTAATTTTCAATTTCTTATCTTGAGAAGTCATTATTTGCTCCGAATTGGAGGTGAAGAATTATTCTCTCCATTATTTATCAGTATGACGTTTTCAATTGACCTTTGTTTGGTCAAAGTAGCTGAGGACATAATTGAACTACTCAACCCTGTGCCACAGCACAGGAGACACTCCAGTTTGAAAGATCAAGGGCTACAGCATCAAGCAACTACTTAATGTGGTTCAGGGTCAGCCAGCAATCTACCGGGCCCACTGCAGAGAAAATAAGGCTTGTATAGAAATTCTTTGATAAAGACCTGGTATTTTAATCACTGCATGATCAATACCATGGCTTATAGGCTACATTCATCTTTCCAGTCTTTAAGGATTCTCCCATAACTCTCAGAAAATGAAATAAACCAAGTTTATGGTTAGACTTGGACACAGGCAATTTAACTTTCACTTATAAATAATCAAAACCTAAAAAAAAAAAAAAATAGGAAAAGGGCTTAAGTCTTGCATGATAGATTGCATTAAATTCCTAACATGACCTAAACATTTGACTGACTGTCTTATTAAGAACAATACTAGCAGAAGACAAAATGAGCTATATTTATTCAGCCTGACTGAAACAGACATTTTTTTTTTTTTTTTTTGTCAGTGTTGAAGATGCAAGGTAAACATGAAGGCTTCAAATCAAGAATTTTAAAATTTAAATTTAAATTTAATTTCAAGTGATAATATCTCGCTTTGAATGTCTCAAACAGTTGGAAAAAAAAAACAAAACTGTAAGATAGGCAAACTGATTCCCATCTGCCCAGCCTCACTCCGCAATGACCAATACTTTCAGGTTTCATCTTCAATATCTTACCCAATTAATGCCTCAAATTCTGAAAACACTCTTTCCTGTCTATTGTGACCTCCTACCCTTAATAGCAGTACTTGATAAACTACTTCACTCTAAGGTGCCTAATAATAGCTATTCCATCCCACATGTGCTAATGTTTTGAAAAACAATATTTTACTGAGCACAAAAAGAACTGGATTTTAATTTTGGTGTTTTAGGCAGTGAGCCAAGTGTCCTAAGAAATGGTCTAGGAAGAGGAAGTATTGATTTCTCTTAAAATACCCAGAAAGGCAGCACCAACTCACCCAACAGATATGCTAGACCAATTCCTTGCTCTGTATTCCACCCAATTACTAACATCAAAGAGAGCAAACAAATGGCCCCATGCCAGCCTTGACCCACAGGGACCATTCCTCAGATATTTTGAATAACTACTGACAAATTTTAATTGACTGGCTAATTGAGTACAATTATGAACACTTAGACTTCCATCATTTGTTAGTAGAAGAATGTCACTCATCTGGAGTTGTGACTTCAACTGCCTTGCCATTAAGATCTGTGGGTGGCCTACTTAGACTTGGTTTCAGCTAGTATTGCTCTCCAAGGACATGCTACTTAGTTGAAACATAGTTAAAGGAGGTTCTACACAGCAGGAGTTACTCAATGTCAAGGAAGTAGCCATGAAGTGGTAATATGGCACCTTTCAAAACAGAACCCTACATTGCAGTTAAGAACTCACATAGCTGACAGTTTTGGTATGATCTTCAAGAGCAAAGAATGGTCTTACAGAGCACAACAGAACATCAAGATGCTAACTAATAGTGATAAGCTTCAGAATAAAGGTCAAAATCCAAGAGAAAGTTCTAGCTTTATGCAGAAATTGCAGTAATAAATCCTAGAAGTAGGGATAAGGAGACATGACTAATGAACACTTGAGTACTTAGATGGTTTGTTCATCACAACAACGAGGGACAGAAAGATATAGGAAACTCTGGGAAAGTTTGCTGCTTTGAACGTAAATGGTACAGAGGTTTGCAAAGAGTAAAAAAGTTTGAAATTCTTGTTACTTAAATAGGCAAGCAACCTCTCTTGAGAAGTACAGCTGGATTAATGGACAATGGTCAGAATCTCATTAGGGATTATGAATTTATTGGAGTATCAATCTGCATGATGATACAATTTTTCCAGCAACTCTCAGCAATTTCAGAGCAGCCACAGAGAAGGAGGATGGTTAGATTCAGACAAGATCTTGGTTTTTGTGGTAGTTAGGTTTGTGTGTGTCAACTTGGCTGGGCCTGGTTGAGTGGCTGGGCAGCTGGTGGTAGTTATTCCCCATGATGAGACTGGCAATCAACTCCATGGTGGGATCTACCACAAGCAGCTGAGTAGCTGCCTTTGGGATGTGGTCTGCTTCCTGTATATAAGGAGAAGCTTTGGGAATGGTCTCTAGCCTATGGCATGCTTGAACCCTGCATGTAGCTGTGTCGTTGCTCAGTAGCCTGCTATGCTCTGCCAACCTTGAGACTTACAATGGACTTAAGTTAAAGGCCTGTCGTGTGGTTTGGTAACATCAGGACTTTGCCTTTTTACTTGTCAACCTTGGAGCTTCTCAGCCTCTGCAGCCAGCACCTGTCTGAGTGAAGAAATGCCTCTAGCTTCAGTGGGCCAGGAGTAAGAGGTAGAGCTGGACCCCAAGTTTGAGGGGCTTTCCACCCAGCCCCTAGAGACTGCCACTTTGAACTTGGACTTAAAGCCTCCAAATTGTAAGAATAAACTCCTGTATGTTAAGGCCATCCTATTTGTGGTATATTCTTGTCAAAGCAGTACTACATAACCAGAACAGTTTTCTAAGTTAACAAGAAGAAAAGGCAAAAGAGCAGGATGCATAAAATATTTCCAAGAGATGGGTTGAACTGAAGAATCATGAAATATAAGTACCATAAAGTATAAAATGTTGAGAGAAAGAAGATGAAGGAGTAAGAGAAAATATATGGAGCTGGTCAACAGAGTAGTGGGAAAGTAGGAATCAGAGGGATTTCTGAATTAGTGATGTCAGAGGTGGAGCAATTTGGGTGATGACAATAAGTGCTCTTGTGCTGTCAGTATTCTTTGTAGTAAATGGACTAAACGACAAGGGAACATTCTCATATCACAATTAGCTCCCATACTAACAATGAGCTTTGAAAATGTCTCATTGTTCTAATCTAGATTCTCAGTAGTACTTTCTCCATCTCATGGTGTAAATTTCCATTCATCAATAAATCATGGGTTTTCATATTATATATCCCCAGTTTTAAGAGCATTGGGTGGTTCAAATGGTTGAGCACACCACTACTAACCAAAAGGTTGATAGTTTGAACCCTACCAGAGGCACTTTAGAAGATAGGCCTGGCCATGTGCTTCTGAAGAGTCACAGCCTTGAAAACTCTATGGCACAGTTCTCTGCACACATGGGATCTCCATGAGTCAGAAATGACTTGACAGCAACTAAAAACACAACATCTTCATCATTATTTATGAAACTAAATATCTTTTTAATAGATGATGCCATTATGTTTTACCATTTTTTAATTACCTTTGATGTCATCTCCATATCCAAATCTTTTACCGTATCATAAACTCCAATAGGGCAGGAACCATTTGAATTTGTTCACTGTTCTGTCTTCAGGTCTTACCATAAAACTAGCACATAATATGTATATAAAAAATCTTTGTTGAAAAACTGAGTAAGTGACATATCCCAGATCGTGACTGACTTTGAGTGAGATGATTGAGTAAAAAATAAAATCATTGTTGAGAGGTGATGGGAGTAAGGGACAGACAATTGGATAGGTTACTCACATCAATTTCAAACTCACTGAGAATGATGAAATATTGCTGTTAGAAAGGATGGTTCAAATGTCAACATCTTTAACAAGTGAATGAGAATTTATTGAAGGACAAGAACAATGAAGATTAGAGATACAGTAACTAGATGGCCTGAACCTCAGAAGATGAGGTTTTTACATGACTTGTAGGGCTATGGACACTTATCATGTAGAGGCAGCTCTGGGAAACTAGGAAGATGTCAATCTCTGCTCTGAAACCTTAAGGGAGGGGGAATGAGCCAGTATCAACATCTCTTGGATACAACAGGGGAAGCAGTATCAAGTAAATGCTTGAATTAAAGAAAGGAAGCAGAAAAAACAATGGAAAAGAGAATTTTACAGGTCAGGAATTCAGAATTTCTGAGAATACAATAAAGGAGCTTTGGAAGGAGAAACACAGTGAGTAGTTGGATCAGGAAGAGGCATCCCAGAGAAGTATGAAAATGAGTGGACAAAAGAAAAGGAGAGATAACCAACAAGATTTATACATTAGGTGACTAGGGAAACAAGTGAAGTAGACATGATGGATTTAGTTTCCTGAAGGACCTGGGGACCCCAGGTTTCTCTGAATCATGAAGTAGACCTAGCAATGGAGCTGGGAACAGAACATGTCTTAATCTCTTGACCTGAAAGCCGCACAGTGGCAGTGCCCAGTAGGAAGTGCAAGCTTAGTAGTCTATCATATGAGAGTGACAACAAGGCATAGGCAACAGAGGCAAACAACATCAAGAAGAGATGGGCCGTAATGACCCTATGCATCTTCTTAGGGCCACTGTTACAAGGAGAAATGCAGGAACTCACAGAAACCTCTCCTGTCCGGGATCATTTCAGGACCTGTGGGAACTGAATCTGTAGGTCAAAGCTGTTAATCACTTGAGCTTACAGGAATTGGGGAAGATAAGGGATGACATGTAGTACCTGAAGGATTAGCTGCAGAAGTGTCCAGTGCCTCAGGCTCCTCTTCTCCAAATTCTCAATAGTACATTCTCAGTATTTTCTGTTTCTGCTCCATTTCTTAGGTTTAACAGAAGAAGAATCCCAAAACTGTGTCCGGATTGAAACAACAAGACGTATTCTCTTTGTTAAGAAAAAAAAAGTGGAACATCGGTGTACAATCAACAGGCTGTCAGAGAAATATGAAGGTAATGGGACTCTCTCTTAGCAGCTCATCCAGCATGTCCTGCACCTGGTTATAACTTAAGTATCATAGTGTACATATGGTACTATCTTTAACTTTTTATTTATTTCATGATGGAACCTTCTGCATGTGGCAGAAGGAAGGGAGAGAGCATAGCCAGCCGTCTGGTTAGCAGGCAAGTGTCTTAGCCACTATGCTACCAGAGCTCCCGATTGTTCAACTTAGTGAACATTTATTTATGATCAGAACTCTATAACTCAATTATGATGTAAAGATGGGTGTGAACCAGCCCTTCCTGTTCAGGAGCTTACAAAATAAGCATATAAATAGCCACAAGAGTTCAAGTGAGTTATTTTATTTAAAAAAAAAAAAAAAATGGAAGTACTACAGAAGAGGGACCTCTGGTAGCTGTCAGAGTACATCAGGTCTCATGAACTATGCATGACTATATGTCTGTGCATTGAAAACTGTAGAAGACACAGCCAGCTTCCCAGAGGGACCGAGTAGTTGAACCTGCGGGCTTGGGACCATAGTCGCAGGGGACATCAAGCTCAAATGGCATAACATACTATAAAAAATATTGTTCCACCTCCTACTTTGGTGAGTAGTGAGTGGGATCTTAAAAGCTAGCAAGCTGCCATCTAGATACAATGATGGGTCTCTCCTCATCCAGAGCAAAGAAGAATGAAGAAAACCAAAATTTGTGGGAACAATTAGTCCTAGCAACTGGTACACTATCCGATCTGCAGCCTATATGACTATGAGACCAGAACTGGATGGTGCCTGGCTACCACTGTCATCCACTTGGAGGGGGATCTATGTAGGCGATCCTTGATAGAGAGGGAGAACAATGTGGAACAAATGCAAAATCATTTGGAGAAAAAAAAAAAAAAGTTGGGGACCAGGTTTGTTGGTCTGATAGAGCCTGGTGGAACCACTGAGACTATGGCCCCTAGCTGCCCTTCAGATCTGGAATTGAACCCACACCTGTGGTTTCCAGCCAAACAAAAGACAGGCATATGAGTTGAACATTTACCTCAAGTAGATACTCTCCTTGGAGAGAACAATCATGGGAGAAAGAAGGGCTGCTTATGCACAGGGAGACAACTCAGGGGGCAAGAGAGTATGGAGGGATGGACACTGGGAAGAGGTAACTATGGGGAGGAAGTGGGAGAGGAGCTGTGGCATTATGGTAAACTGCGGTCAATGTCTTGAGACAAAATATATGTGAACGTTGTATGGAAAGTGAATTTGCTCTGTAAACCTTCACCCAAATCACAAAAAAAAAAAAAAAAAAACCTGTAGAATATTTTGGCAAATGGAGAGGAAGGGATAAAGTCCAGGCAAAATAACTGAAGAAGGAAGACATAAATTAGATTTTAAAGAATGATTGTATTCCCTTCCAGAGTTTCAGTCACCTTCTATGGACTTTACTCCTATACACTAATCTTCCAACTCACACATCTCTTCTGAGTTCCAGACACCTACTCACTTGAATGGCAACAAACACCAGGACTGCACATACTCTCTGCCTACTTCAAATAATTCTCATTACTATACAGTAGAGTAATAGGATTGTTGTGAACATTAAGTGAAGTGATGACCATAAGGAGCCTGCCATAGGACACAGCAGCTATTGGCTGCTTTCCCCTTTCCCTCTCCTCTTCCTCTCCTCGAGTAGTCCCACCTAAATAAACGGCATTGGCCAAAACTCAACCAACCAAGTAAGAAACCTGGGTATTAATTTTTATTTCTCCCTCTTTCTCACCTCAATATCCAATCAGTAATTCTGTATAATTCATTGTGTGCCATCCTTAATATCTTTCCAGTTGTCTCCATCTCACTATTCTCTGGGCACATCTCAATCCAAGCCCTCATTATTCCCACTTTATTACCACAGAAGCCTCCTAAATGCTCTTAATGCCTCCAGTCTAGCCTTTCTCCAATCTACTCTACACCTTTCTGTGAGAAGAATGTCTCCCACGGAGATCTTATAAAACACTCAAGTTTCTAACATGTCACAGTTTCATATGGCCTTCAGGTAATAGGCCTGCTTCTCTGTCTACTTTGCTAAACATTATGCCATCTCCAAAAAAAAATCATCCACTCTTGTGTATCCCATAATTAAAAATAACTGCTTCCTCTGTGTAAAATTCTCTAGTTCTCTGCCTTTGCTTCAATGATTGCTACTCAGTTTGCTTAGAACAAAGGGAAGAAAAAATCATAGAAACTTCTAAAATATAAAACTCATATTCTAATGAGGAAGACACACAGGGAACAAATAAAAATATGTTTCCTATATTAATTAATTAATTAATTATAATATCAGAGCTCATAGATAGTCTCCATGTGAAGGCCCAGCTGAAGCATAAACAGAATGAGAAGAACTGGCTTGTCAACAATGTATTCGTATTATAGCAAAAAAGGAAAAAAAGGAATAGTACACAAAAACTGATAAATAATTTAGTAACATAAACCAAAGAATGAGTTAAGATTCTTTACCAATTTATCACACAATTTAATAACAATAAGAACATAAATTCAATAAATCAAGAGCTCAGAGACAAAAATATTAAATATCAGAATTAATTAAAAGAGCTATTTCAGAGCAAAGAGGCAAAAAAAAAGTTACTATTATAAATAACTGGCAAAATATAATTGAAAATAAAATTAATAAAGTTAACCATAGATAGAAAAGATCTAAAATAATCGCAATGAATGCAGAGGAAAAAGTCATATTAAAAGTCAGTAAAGGAACTCTAATGTAAGTAAAATTACAACACATAATTTAATATATGGGAATGTGTTGTTGTTGTGCACCACTGACTCATTTCCAACTCATAGTGATCCTATAGGACAGAGTGGAATGTCGCAAAGGTTTCCTAAACTGTACTTTTTATAGGAGCAGAGCACCAGATCTTTTCTCCCATGGAATGGCTGGTGGGTTAGTACTGCCAACCTTTAGATTACCAGTGGAGTGTGCTTAACTACTGCACTACTTGTTGTTGTTGTTGTTATGTGCTGTGGAGTCGGACTTGACTCATAACAACCCCTCCTTGGGTTTCTGAGGAGGGGTATCACTATGGAAGTAGATTGTCCCAACCTTCCTCCAAGGAGTGGACTACTAGGACTCCTTATATAAGAATTAATGTCCTAAGAAATGAAACAGAAATTATTTTTTAAAAAAACTACATAATAATTCTGGTGGCATAGTGCCTAAAGCATTTGACTGCTAACCAGAAGGTTGGTGGTTCAAACTCACTGGCCAAGACTGGGCAATCTACTTCCATAGAGATACACATTGGAAACCCAAGGAGGGGTCGCTATGAGTCAGAACAGACTCCATGGCAGTGAATTTGGTTTCTGGTTTTACATAATAACATGTATCTGAAATGAAGGAAAATAAGTTTTTCTTGATTATGTGTTATCAGGAATATTAGCTCAAGACAAATTCTTCTTAATTTACAAAATGCAAGGTTTTTTAAAATGAATTTTTCAAGTATCAGGGCAAAATATTCTCTTACAGACAGAACAACAAAGTACAAACAGGCTCAGATTTCATTTTTAAAAAATGCAATGATAGAAGACAATAGAAGGATGCTCACAAATTTCTGGAAAAAAGAAAAAAAAAATGTGCTCATGTGTGAAGGAAACAAACAGGAAGCCATTCTCAAAATGTTAAAGAATTCTAGAAGAATCATTCTTGAGTACCTATTGAAAAAAAACTTTTCCACTATAAAATCTGTTCAACAAAGAGATTAACAAAACAAATAGTTCAAATAATTCAGATATATGAAGATAAAATTTTTTTATTTTTCTAAAATGAAATACAACATACCTGTCAAATTCCCACTTATTTTTAAGTGGTGAAAAATATAAAATTTCAAAAGTAACATAACAGTTATTCCTAGTTTTAATTATTAAAATTCAAAATCCCTCTCACCCTTCTTTCTTGCTTCAGGGATGATCACTGTGTGTGTGTGTTTGTTTGTGTGTGTGTGTGTATTGTATGTAGCATCCTGGAATCAGAAGAAGTACAAGACCTTTGTCAACATGCTGTCCTCTGCCTTTGCTTGCCCCAGCTGTTACTTGGCAATCCTGTTTCTCACTGTTATGCACTGGTGTTCACTCTTAATGTCCATAATCCTGCCTTGGTCTTAAGTTATTAAGTTTGTACCCTTTGAATCTTCCTCATAGCAACCTCAAGCCCTTTTGTGTCTGTAACCCTCTCTCGATACTTTCTCACCTTCATTGAGGTCTAGGGAACTCCTGCCTGATTTCTGCACATCACACTGAACTATAAGCAACTTCAAGACTACCCTAAAGGCCACTTGCCTGAGTGGCATGGTGTATGTATAGACTCTCTACAACACTTGTTGTTCCTACCCTACTACAGGGAAAGTCAAGTGAGTGGTCTTCCTGCTTTAGACACAAGTGTAACTGGGTTTCTCTTCTACCACCATCATTCCCAAGACTCTACTCAAAATGACAGAATCCTAGGCACTGAGAAATCCACCAACATCTAAATCTTAGTCACATGTTGAATATTCTCTATTCTCTTGATGGTTCAAAGTATTTTCCCCTTTTGGGAAGGACAATGGCTGTTATGTTTTTGTGTATTCGTTATTATTTTTGGTTGTTTTTACAAATTCTATGTTCTGATTCTAGCACATTTGGTTATTGATATTTAAACTCAAGCATTAAAAACTCAAGAACTCTTTTTTTCTCTCAAGGGCCTGGCTCTTGACACAGGAAGCTATGGCCTTCAAATCTATCATTTTGCTGTAGATTTATACAAGCATACTTGAGAGCTCAAAAGATAAAATTAAAATCTTTTTCAGTCTGGCTCCTTCCAAGCATAAGGCTGTACATGTAGAAAGTCCATGATGCAGCTTGATTTGGGAGAGAGGTGGCAAAGACAAAGGGAGGTAAGAAACAAATACAAAAATTAATATCAAGATATTACTCCAATAGATAAACATAGAACTCAGGAATAATAACCAA